ATTTTTAAAAAACAAAAGCTTCAGTCATTTAGGAAGCTTAGAAAATCTGACATTTAGGAAGCAGTGACAGATCAATCAGTGAAGGGCAACAGTTAGTGGGATCAAATGAAGAATGTCAACACTTCCCCTTCAGTTTATTAACTATCACAAAATGACAGTTATAAAGAGAATTGACTTCCATTAGGACCAAAAGTGTCACCCATTAAAAACTAAGATTTAAATCACTGGCCTTGCAGGTGCATTTGCACAGTTAAAGAGGGAGGCAGGGATTTTAGAGCATCCAAAGCATTTCATTCTCAGGGGTTTCAGACCCCCTTTTCTGATAAAGGCACAATCTATTTCCATATATACTCATGCTATAATCATATGAAGAAACAACTAAAAGAACATTCATTTTAAAAACAAAAGTCTGCAAAATAGCAAAAAAAAAATCCAGTTTCAGTGCATTTCCCATATACGCCATTCATATCTCTCCAAAACCCCTGCCCCCTCAAAATACATGTCCTTTCAGTAAAAGCTTTCTTGCCTCAGAAACAAGGCTGTTAAATTAGCTGTGACAGTTCAATTTCAAATGTCACTTTTTAAAAGAAAACCCAAGTATTGATTTCAAAACAGGAAAGCAGCTCTACAGCAATTCTCCTTTAGTTTCCAAAGATTGTTGTGGAACGCTCTGCTCATCCTTTAGCTCCACACGTGACGCCTGCAGTGATCCAAGGCCTACAACACGCAAACACAGAAGCTTCATTCCCATCACAGCCGGTTTCTGATGTGTAACATTTTACACTCAAAACATAAAAAGTTGCAAGCAATACTCACGTTACAGCGAGATGCGGTCTCCACGTTCTTACACCAGTATGCTGGCCCCCAGCTGCACTGCTCCAATCCCAGCAGCTTCTGCACTACCTCGGGACATGCTCCCAGCTTCTGTACGCACAAAAACCCCCAACAAACTCAGTCAGGGCTCACTGATCACATGATTTGAGCTGGAGAGCGGAGGGTAAATCTTACCATGCAGACAAAGTCCGGGTCGAGCGTCTGGAGCAGCAGCTGTACCAGCAGAGGCTCATACTGCTCAATGAGCTGGTGACACTGCAGGAAGAAGAGCACACACACACACACTTATTAAGGGTGTGAATCGTCACTGGTTTCACGATTCGATATCACGATGCATCACAAATATATCATTTATTTTGTGCATTTTTATTCAATTATATAAGCAGGCTACTTTTTAAAAGAATTACAAATTAATAATAAATCAAAACAACTTAAGAATTTAACCAAATAAAATATAGCTTCAAAACGTACAAGCAAATATAAA